ACAGGGTTTCTCTGTGTAGCTTTGCGCCTTTCCTGGAACTCACTTGGTAGCCCAGGCTGGCCTCGAACTCACAGAGATCCTCCTGCCTCTGCCTCCTGAGTGCTGGGATTAAAGGCGTGCGCCACCACCGCCTGGCTCAGTTTTTTATATGTAAGGTGTAATGACATTTAGACAGTTTTAATCAATATCTCCCCAAACCTGCCGATATGCATTCATGTTTGTGTGTGTTCTTCTTCTGTCCTGCTTTTTCCTTGCCTTACAGAATCATGAGGATAAAGAGTGGAAGTTTGCTCGAGCAAAGCTATGGCTTAGCTACTTTGATGACAAGTGTACACTGCCCCCTCCTTTCAACATTATTCCTTCACCAAAGACTATCTGCTACATGATCAGTAGCCTCAGTAAGTGGGTTTGCTCTCACACGTCGAAAGGCAAGGTCAAACGGCAGAACAGTTTAAAGGTGAGAAATTAGAGGTTTGAATCGCACCACAGTTTTACAGTTGCTAATTGCACTTTTAAGTTTGGGGTTTTTTTTTTTGAGATGGAGTTTCACTATTTACATAGACGTAGCTGCCATGGAATCTGCCATGTAGACCAGGCTGGCTTCAGTTTGCAGCAGTCCTCCTCTGTCTGCCTACCGTGGGCTGGGAGGATGGGTGTGTGCCACCATGCCTAGCTTGGATGTTTGTTGCAGGATATTTGATCACACTGTGACCCTGAGAGATTGCATTATTTGCTGGAAAACCTGTTTCTAGTTGTGGTGTGCCTCAGCCCTGGCATATACCTTAATTCCAAGAGCTTTCTGCTTGAACATTGTAAATAGGATTAAATAAGGTTAACCGTAGGTCAAGAGGCAGAACAAGTAACCAGTTGACAGGAAACGAACATAGGATGATTAAGAAAAAACCGTAGAGAGTAAGAGGGAATCAGGAGGGTGGATAGAGGAACACACAGGAAGTAAAAGGGAGGGCGTTCTGTTTGAGAAGTCTTGTTTGAGACTGTGTAGGAGAAGGTGGGAGGCTTCTGGGATGTCAGCTGAGGAGGAAGGCCATCTGGGTGCTTTCCCTGCCTCTCCGAGCTAGCAGGGTTTCACCCCAGCATCTGGCTTCTGAGTCTTCTTTGGTAAAATCAAATATTTGAGATTTTGTTAAAAACAACAGATGTTTCTTTAAGCACAAATATGAAGGTTTGATAAGGCTATCCTGAGGTGTTTTCTACTGTGTCCCTAACGCATGCTATAATATCTAATATAAAAATTCAATGAATAATTGAGAATAAGAAATAAAGCTAAGAATTTTTAGGTTGGTTTTGGTTCTTTTCTTAATTTTCAAGTTTTCCTAGCACATGAACTCTTATCCCATAGTCATTCATTATAGATTTAAAGAACAACAATTAATTCATAGCATTTTTAGGTCTTGAAAGTTACTCAGTATATTTCTTATTCAGTGCATGCTGCTTATAAACCAAAGAAAAGTTTCCTAAAAGACCAGACAGTAAATATTTTATACTTTGAAAGCCAAACAAAACAAAAAACACCATCTAAGAAGTTATATAAAAGAAAAAATTTCCAAAAAACTTACAAATGAAATTAAAAATATAACAATAAATAACAGTCACTGTAATAAGTTACTAGGGAAAACAGAATTCCCTGTAATAGGATTAAAACTTTGCTTAATTAGAGTTAAAAATCAAGTTGTCCATTATAAAATTGATTACAGATATTCATCTGTAAAACCATTCTTAGCTCACAAGGTAAGAAAGACAGAAAGTGGGCTTGGGGTGGTAGTTTATGACTCTCTGTTGTAGACTGGGCATTACTAAATTTTTTCAATAAAATTGGCCTAAAGGAGAGTGAATGAAACAGATACAGGGGCTATATTGTTAAAAAATGTACTGACTATGATTTTTACCAAAGAAAACTGTCCTCTAAATGCATTGAAAGTGTGCATTTGTGAGTATATTTAAAATTTACCTCATTTAAATATTGTCTCTGAGGCTAGAGAATGTCTTGATGGTAGACATTTGCCTAGCATACATGTGGCCCTCAGCTCACTCCTCAGTTCTGCAAATCCATATGTATATATGAGTGTGTATACATGTTTTCTTACACATACATTGTTTTGCTGTCGTTCTTACCATGGGACTGCTTGTTTTGAAGGAGTGGAGAAACTTGAAACAAAAGAGAGACGAGAACTACCAGAAGGTGATGTGCTGTCTGGTGCATCGTTACCTGACGTCCATGCGACAGAAGATGCAGAGCACAGACCAGGCGACCGTGGAGAATCTCAATGAACTGCGCCAAGATCTGTCGAAATTCCGAAATGAAATAAGGGATTTGCTTGGCTTTCGGACTTCTAAATATGCTATGTTTTATCCAAGAAATTAATCATTTTCTAAATCTTGTAGAAATAATTTTCCATAACAAATCTGAGACTGTATTTGCATACCTTACAACTACACTAATAAGATATATATGGACATAAACAATTACACAAAAGCCATTCTCTAAATATTTATAGCATAAATATATGTCATGTAAAATATGTATATAGAGTTAGTTTTTTAAAACCTGTCTGTGGCTTTTTGTAGAAGTGAAACAGAACAAGTAAACGGGTTTGTTAGCATGCAGTTTTTTTTCTTAGTTCGTTAGTGCTTAAAATTTGTAATATTTAAGAGGGGCAGCTATCAGTGTACACATTGCCCACTCCCTTTTATAAAATGAAGATCAGCAAATGCAGCTACCTTAAGAGACACTTGAAATGTAGAGTTCATGGTGTTTAAAATCTCTGGTTTTAGGAGTTCACATAGAGGTCAGTATTTATTGTTTAAGAGTATAGTTTTATCTAAAATACCCTATTTTTTCTTTTGTTATAATCTTAAGCAACAAAGAAAAGTCTCTAAATATTTGAATTTAAGTCGGTCTTGTGGTGCACGGCTTTAATCCCAGCACTTGGGAGGCAGAGGCAGGTGGATCTCTGAGTTCAAGGCCAGCCTGGTCTGCAGAGTGAGTTCTAGGACAGCCAGGGCTACACAGAGAAACCCTGTCTCGAAAAACAAAACATTATTTAGTTCTATCAGTCTAAATTTACCTTGTTTTTTGTTGTGTATTATATTTACTCTTACATGGTTATAATAATTTTATATTTTTTATTTTGTTTTTTGACTTACTATTTTAAATATAGTTCTCTGTATTGATGTAGTTCACATATTTAAATATTTATAGAATTCTGTGATTTTTGAAAAATAGTAGACATCTTTTAGCCATAGAATATTTGTTCATATTTATGCATTTGCAAAGTTACTTCTCTAGGCATTTGGTTAGTTTTAACTTTTTCTTCTAACTTTTCAGGTTTGAGTAAGTTACAAAGTATAAGCTGCTTGCTTTCATGTGTGGTCACAGTGGGCTTGGCTGGAGAGCATCAGGGGCTTTGAAAAAAGCTGCTTTAAGTTCAAATGAAGGTTCTTGAGCTCTCTTTCGAAGTGTTTACCTTCTAGAAAAGTGACTTCGTGCTTGCTGCTTGAGATGTAAAGCATTGTTTTTCAGTTTGAAAATAAAAGGTATATCTGACCTATTCTGGTGTTGATGTAAGGGTGTAGCTGAAGCTTTCCCAGCCATTGCATCGGCTCTTGCAGCATGTTCACTGAGGAATACACGTTTACTTTCTTAGCTGAATCTCAGTTGGCATTGAGGGCGCACAGGGTGCAGGCAGCCCTTGGCCCGTGAGCACCACCTACCCAGGGGGCGTCTGAGTAATCTAGTGTTAGGTTTCATCTTGCTTTTCACATTTGTTTTTGATGTTCAAGTTTAAGTCTTCCCTCTTTCGGGCAAATTCTTATAAAAATGTTTATTGTAAAGTTATATATTTTGTCTACAATGGAATTATGCACTTCCCTATTGGGATTTTACATCAGGATTTTTAGTCATTCTAAAAAATATACTTAATTATTAAAAAAAATCTATAGAGTGCCTATTGTGTGCATGAATTACTGATGAGGTATATTTTGAATGACAGCATATTGTAAGAAAAAAGGTGAATAAAATTTGGTATTAGATTATAAATTGATAGAGCTTTAGCATTTTACTTAGTATTATTTGCTTTTATTTTTTAATTATTTTATGTGTGTGAATACTTTGCCTGTTTGTATATTTGTTTACCATGCATGTGCTTGGTACTCACAGATGCCAGAAGGAACTGGAGTAACAGACAGCTGAGAGTTGCCTTGTGGCTGCTGGGAATTGAACCTGGGTCCTTTGGAAGAGCAGCCAGTGCTCTTAACCAGTGAGCCATCTCTCCAGCCTCTCATCTGCTTTTTAGTTTGAGATACAGGGATGGCAGGATGGCTCAGTGGGGAAGGTGCTTACCACCGGGCCTTGCACCCACCTAGAGGAAAGACTCCCCCAAGCTGTCCTCTGACATCCACATGCATGCTGTGCCACAAAGCGTCCACACTCATACACACACAGTATACATTTTTAATTGAGATATAATTCATATGCATCTATAAAATTTAGTATTTTTAAAATTTATGGTCACAAAGGCCTAAAATGTAAAATACCAACATCAGACACTCTTAGCAACACTTCCCACTTCTGAAGTAATTACACTTAACTGTTAGCTGTTTCCTAGGATAACATATTTTAAATTAATATATCCATACAAAGATCTGTATGTGACCATTCAAGAGAACTTTATTCATTGTCCCAAACTGAAAACAACTGAAAGCCTTTCAGCTAGGGAATGATAAATAAATTATGTATTTACATAGTATAAATCTAGAATAACAGGATGTGTCCAAGTTCCGGCAGAGGGACAAAGCTGCTGGGAGCATGTGTGCATGTGTGCCGTGTGTGTGCACACGCACACACTTGTATATAAGGGTCTGACATTGCACTCGTTGGATTGTTGGACAGGTTCTGTTGTCCTGGCATCCAGTGTTAGAAGTCCCTGGGGTAGCAGCTAGGAAGGAAAGGCAGAGATCCAAAGAAGACAGCCAAGACCAGCCGGCACCATGAAGAGGGATTCTGATGAACCGTACTTCCTGTGTCTCCGGCCTTGTATCCTGTGGCAATACTGAGGCCTTTTGCCATTGCCTTTGGAAGTGTGTTGGTAAACAATCACAGATGCTGAAGGAGGAGCAAAGAAAGGTGCTGCTGCCCCACATCATCAGGATGAATCAGCACATGTGAGTTAGAAAAGTTCAGTGGAAAGAACAAAAGAACTGCTGCGTCACTCTTCAGATCTCACACCCTGATTGGAAGCACACAAAGAGAATTCTGGGAAATGAAGTTAGTCCTAGGCAAGTTAACACGTAAAGCCACCACAAATACAGACTGGGGACACTTGCAGTAACATGGATGAATCTTAAAAAGTGAAAAAAGCTCGTCACAAAGACTATAGACTGCACACTCCACCATGTAACATTATACAAGATAAAAACATTAGGAAGTTAAATCATCGGTTCCCAGGATCTGCTAAAGGAAACTACACCTTTATTTAAAGTGCTGAGTTTTAAGTGGGGCCTGGTGGCAGACCTGTAATCTCAATGTTCAGGAAGATGAGGCAGGAAGATTTCAGGGTTCTAAGCCAGCCTTGACAACAGAGTGTACTGCAGACTAGCCACAACTACATAGTGAACCCCTGCTTTGAACTGTGAATTTTAGTGTGTTAGGATTATGTTTGTGTCAACCTGATGAGAAATAAATTATGTTTAGTAGATTAAAAGAGTTAAGAGTGGGGGCACACGCCTTTAATCCCAGCACTCGGGAGGCAGAGGCAGGTGGATCTCTGTGAGTTTGAGGCTAGCCTGGTCTACAGAGTGAG